GTATTATTTCTCTCTTCTTCTTTCTTTTTGACTATGATAAAGGGGGAGAAAGATTTGCTAGCTTTCACAATTCAAGAAGAAGCAAAAACTTGTAAACTTGCAAAAATTTCTAGCTTGTACATCGTAAAAAAATGAGAAAAGTGCTAGCTTACACATATTAAGAAGCAAAACTTGCAAACTTATCTAAAAAAAGAAGCAAGAATTGCTAGTTTGCAATCTCAAGAGAAGCAAAAGTGTTATCTTTCCCATCTCAAGAAGTAAAAAATTATTAACTTGCACATCTCAAAATTATTGTTAGCTTGTATGTTGTAAAACTTGCATATCTCAAAACTTTACTAGATATACTTTTCCTTTTTGTTGGTGACAAAGGAGAAGAAGATATGATGATGAGTTGAATCATGCATGGTAGGATGTACTTTTATGTTTTAAAATATTATATGATTTTCTGAATTCCAAGTTTCAATCAATAAGACATATTGATAGGAGGAATTTAGTTTAAACTCTGTCATCAATTGATTGTCATCATCAAATAGGGGGAGATTGTTGAATCTCATATTTTGATGATGAAATCAATTGATGAGTTTGTTATCTAATCTACGTTTTCAGTTATGCAATTGGATCCTACGAATGAGATCTAATAAGAGCCAATGAGAGATTATTGGATAGAGATCCACTAATCTAAGTAGCTTTGGTAGTTGGATGAAGATCCAATACATAATATGGCAGGATTCATTAGGGTTAAGTTGACAGAGGGTCTCTATAAATAGGAGGGAACAAAACACTCATAGGCTAGAGGTTTCTTGGTTGCCACATCTTATTCTCCTCTCTCATTTTCCTCCTCAGATAGCAGGTGTGAAGATTTAGGTAGCGATTTGAGGAGCATCGTCGCAGTCATGCTGTGTGGATCATCGCTAGAGAGGAGAACGCTTAGCCTCCTTCATCCTCTCTTACAGATCTGTAGGGATTCAGGGATATACAATCTCCCTGGGTAACACAACAATCTCATGTGTGGTTTTAAGTTTCGCTTGTTTTATGCACCAATTTTTGCACTACGATGAACACCTTTTTGAAAAAATTTGAGGTTTTTGTTTTTTTTGTTCCTCCGCTATGCATGTGATGTCACCCATATATTTCCCTACAGTACCACCCAGACTAGTAGTGGTAACACCCAAACTAGTGGTGGTACTGCCTAAACACAGTCTCCTAGACTATGTTAGGCGGTGGTACCGCCTAGTGTCAGTGTCATACTAGGTGGTGGTACCACCCAGTGTCAAACTGACAAGCGGTGGTATCACCCAGCAATGGCAGTGGTACTACCCAATAATGGTGGTAGTATTGTCAGTACCCCAAAAACTCGGGACGAGACTCTTTTGGCTCCAAATTTGAATCCATTTGGAGCCTATAAATACCTCACTCATCCCTGCTCGATTAACACATCAATTGAGAACAAAAATAAAAAAAAATACTATTTTAATCTTGTGAGATTTCCCCTTCTCTAGCTCCAAGTATTGATTTCAGTTTAAAAGAGGGGTAAGTGGCTTCTAAAGGTTGTCTCCTAAACCCGTGAAAAGGAGAAAAAGTTATAAAATGATAGTTGGTCTTCATCCATTGAAGAAAGACCGTTTGTGGATATCGGTGGCCTTAACGAAAGAGGAATCGGGAGTGGACGTAGGTCATGACGATTGAATCACTATAAATATAGTTTGCACTTACTTTTTGCATTTCATTGCTATTACATTCTGAGTTAATTGCTTAGTTCACTTTCTCTAAGTCAACCACGCTTTCATTATCATTTTCATTGAATGAAGATTTTCTAAAACTAACACTTTTATCGAAAGCACTAATTTATCGCCCCCCCACAACCCCCCCTCATTATCTTATAGATGGATATCACTCTCTTATGAATCTTTTTAATAGAATATCAATCGGTGGTGAAGGTATTTACTCATTGTTTAATTGATTCAACATCATCAATTGTAGGAGT